AAGAAAGAAAGAAAGAAAGAAAGAAAGAAAGAAAGAAAGAAAGAAAGAAAGAGAAACCTCATTCCACTGCTGCCTACATACTACATATTGTGACCATTTGTACAATTTTCTGACATCATAATCCATTCAAGAATCCCATTCTGCTATCCTGTGGACCACTGAAACATAAAACCATGTTTTATATCATATAGTAGATACAGAATAATGTCTTAGTTAGGGTTTTACTAGTGTAAACAAACACCATAACCAAGGCAACTCTTATAAGGACAACGTTGGGGCTGGCTTATATATTCAGAGATTTAGTTCATTATCATCAAGACAGGAACATGGCAGCATGCAGACAACGTGGTGCAGGAGGAGCTGAGAGTTCTACATGTTTATCTGCAGGCCTCTAAGAAAAGACTGACTCCCATGCAGCTAGGATGAGGGTTTTAAAGCCCACACCAACAGTGACACACCTACTCCAACAAGGTCACACATCCTAATAGTGCCACTTCCTGACCCATGCATATACAAACTATCACAAATAATGAAAAGCACACAGACAATCAACAGCAAGTACATTTACATTATATTATTGAATTATGAAAACACAGATTTAAAAGAGAAAGATATGGAAGAGGGAAATAAAACACAGGAAGTAGCACTTTATTATTTATTACTGAAACAAGAAACATGCATTTTTTGTCTGATTTCTACTGGTGTTTTAACCTAAGATTAGTCTTGAACTTACAATTACTAGGGTTATAAATTTGTGCCACAGTATACCCTAAGTTAGCTTTGGACTTTCAATGCTGGCATTATAAATGTGTGTCACTGCATCTGGTTAAGAAAACATGGCTGCCATTAACTCAGCCAATCATAACGTTATGCACACACCTGTGCTTGTGATACGTTGTAGTGCGCTGGACCTGGAACCGCTTCTCCAGGGTCAGAGGAGACAACATAAGCGCTCTTTTTGGAAGTCAAAGAAAGAAACGGTGCATAGCAACCTATAAAAGATAAAAAAAAAAAAAATCACTACATGGACAGGTAACATTAGATCAGAGAGATTTCTGAGAAAATATTCTCAGAACATATATAATCATTTAGCACTCTCAGGATTACAACTATATTTTCAGAATTAGTATCTATTCACACAAGTTATTACATTTTTAAAATTCTCATGTAAGATGACAATTGCTAATTGTCTATTAAAGATAAGACCCTATAGGAGTGAACTTACTAAACAACAAAAAATATGTGTGTGTGTATGTGTGTATGAGTTTGTTGTCTGCATGTGCACATATGTGTGTCTACGTGTGCTGACTTGTACAGTGTATGGAAGCGAGAGGTCAACATCAGGTGCCTTCCCCCATGCCTTTCCAGCTTATTCTTTGAGACAGCCTCTCATTGATCCTGGAACTTTTCAAATGGTAACTAGACTAGCTTGCCAGTGTATCCCCTCTTCCATTCTCTGGCCCAGGCCTACTCCTGCATTTGGATTACAGAACCACACAGCTGTGGTTGACTGTAGGTGGGTGATGGGATACTAACTCAGATGCTGATTGATGCCTATGCACCAAGCACCATAGCCACTGAGCTGCTTCTCCAGCCTTTTTCACCTTCTAATCATATGTGACAGTTATAGTTTTTTGTTTGTTTGTTTGTTTGTTTTTGTTTTTCGAGATAGGGTTTTTCTGTGTAGCTCTGGCTGTCCTGGAACTCACTCTGTAGACCAGGCTGGCCTCGAACTCCATATGTGACAGTTATAATTAGCTGGTCAAACAATTAATCTACCAAAGGCCACTGATTTGTGATTTTAAATAGCAAGTTACATATATATATATATATATATATATATATATATATATATATATATAATAGGTGACATATATTAGGTATGTAAATAAAGTTATAGACATTGCTAAAGATATATCTCAGTGACAGAGCACCTACCTAGGATGCACCAAAGGGGGGAGGAAGGAGGGGAAGAGAGACAGAGAGAGATAGAGAGAGACAGAGAGAGAGAACACAGATGGAGAGATTTTAAACCAGATTGGCAAGTTATTGATGATGCTTTGGCGCAAGTTGGTGCTCAGAAAATATTTCTTGATTGCCTAATTCTAAACAAAAGTTTACAAATCCATGATATAAACTTCATCGGAACAAGGAAATTTGGAACTAGACAAATTTGGATAGCAGATGTGGGTAGCCTACTAAACTCATTTTAAGAAGGTAAAAAGGGGGCATCATAATATATTCATTCTTCATATTATTGATGTTAGAGTATATAACAAATATGTGTGGCTTTAAACTCTGTATATAAAAGAAATGGGCAATGAAGAAGAAATCTAGTATTCATAAAATCTTCATTGGAATTTTTCAAAATTAATCACACAGAATCTTCTCTTACAGTGCTCAAGTACACATGGAGTTATAAATACAAGAAAAAACACAAGAAAATAAAAACAGTTTTAACGACAATTTTCACACAGAAAGGTCCTCTTCTGCTTTATTTATAACTGTGTACTAATGTTTATATGTTTCTCAGAATTTGCAGCTGGTCTGGTTTTCCCCAATCATTGATTCTCAAGTGCTAAAACTAGAGTAATTCCATACAACCAGGATGATTGATGACCTTATTACAATATTCTGTTTTTGCAGTACAGTGTGTGAAGGTGTGTCTCTGTGTATTCAATTGTTCATTCTGCACTGGCAGAGAGTTAAATACTGGCAGGATCTTGGTACTGTCATTTCTATAGGCCATCATCTGTCTCATATTATGTAAATATTTGTTCTTCCTTATTGGCAGATGGATGGACCAGAGCAGAGCAGAGTGGTAGGACTGGCCACATGATGGAGTGTAATGGCAAGATTATTGGGGTTAGAGTAGCTGGAAGATGTCTCCAGCTGAAAGACCTAAGCTTTAAAATATTTTTTAAAACTTCTGTGTTGTTACTTATATCACTGGCAGGTATAAGATAGTCTGGCAATATTCTTTACAACCAACAATAAAGTATAGCTGGCTTTCTATATTATGCATTTTGTTAGTCATTCAAAATACTGAATATTTTGTATACTATATTATGTATTCTATAAGCTTGCATGATAAAGAAAGTACAGTAATTAGACAAAAACCTGATTTCAAATGATGGAGAAATTAAGTAAAGACAATTTTCATACTATCTATGCTGCCAATGTCTAAGGTCCAAAAACAAGTGTAGAAGAGGTCTCCATGGGATTCACATTAGTAGAGTTTGATTTGGTTGGTATATAAATAAGCTGACATATGAAATGTCACCTTATAATGATAAATCAAACTGACAGAAAAGTGAAATTAAGAGCATGGGAGAACAAAAGATTTAAAAGGAATGAGTTCAGTTTGGGATATACTGAGTTTGATGTGCCAACAGCAAAAGATAAATCAAACTGGCACAAAGCAATAAAAGTCCATTCTACAAAAGAAGGTGTCCAGTATGTGATGAAAAAACAAGTTATGCAGCCACAACGACAGCCACAAAGCAAAGGGCGTTCTTCACATATAAAACAATGAGGTCACTGAAACAGGCATTCATCTGCAGGGACACCAGTCTACACAGCAATCAGATGTGCATTAATTATCTAAACCTATGTCCCAGCTGCATTCCCTGATATGTGCATTCCCTATACACTGACTAGCTAGTACAATAAAAACCTTCTCGTCAGCATACACATACAGGTGCATCTATAGGACCACTGATCTATAGAATCTCCATCTACCCTGTTCTGGTAGAAGATAAAACTTCTCCTTCAAAGAAGAAATCTACAAAGGAAATATTTAGGAGATGTTATTGTCCAGCTTAGTTGACTGATACATATTTCATATAGATACCCAACATAGAGCTAATGTTGGGTGCTGTTCATTTTGCAAATACATTTAAAAAGTAATGAAATACTCCTGATGCCATACCAGGATAGACGCGTATTTTTAAAAGAACATGTCTTCTCATGTGATAAGATGGCAGGTAGCTGCTTTTATACTGGGCTACCTGTCCTTAGAGAAATTTCTGTTTTGAGGAGATATGCTTCCTTCTCAGATTAGTTGTAAGAAAGCAAGACAGAGCTCTTTTTTTCCTGTGGAATTTGAATATCCATTCTCTTTCCCACTATGAAAGCACAGCAGCTAAATCCTGATCCACTCAGATTGCAAATCTTAGATTATTCCCAATCAAATGACTTAAAACCAAGGCTATCAATTAGTATATTAAATAGGAGAATGTGGAGCTAGTATACTGAAGGTCTGGCTAAGTAAGATCAAGAGGAAAAAGGAGACTACTAGGTTGAGACTATCCTAATGCTACAAAATCTGTTCCTCTTGTGAGGCTTGCTGTAACAGTTAGGTTATACAAAGTCCCACCATCTTTCCTACCCACATCAGACTCTTAACATATACCTGATCTATCATTGAAATAGATGGACACCTCTGCACAGTCCAGCGAATTACCTATTATAAAGACACATGAAATAGCATGGTAGCTGCTTTTAAATTATCTCACCAAGAAATCTAGCAAAGAAATGCACAGAAACACCTGTTCCATCAATTATAAACATGCTTTCATGAATAGCGCACACACACACACACACACACACACACACATATCCACATCTCAGAGTTCCCAAGCGCAGAATTTCTAGATTTGCTTCAAAGGTGAACAAAGTATAATCCTTTAAGTTAGTATACGGGGCTGACTTCATCCTACATATTACCCTTTATTAAGAAAAGCCATAGGGTTTTGGTGAAGGGGTTGGTGTGTGTGTGTGTGTGTGTGTGTGTGTGTGTGTGTATACATGTGGAAGACAGATGACAACTTGTAAAAAGTCAGTTATTAAGCTCAAGTCATCTTTTAATGTGTTCCATTAGTTTATACTTTACTACAAGGTATTTTTCACTAAGAACATTGTTTTATTGGGTTGAAAACTAAGAACAGAGTAAATATCATGATTCTGCTCTCAAGTAGTTTACATTTTAGTGGGGCTTTCGTGTGTGTGTGTGTGTGTGTGTGTGTGTGTGTGTGTGTGTTGTAGAGTCAAAGTGCTACCAAAAAAAGTTACCTTAGCCAGAATGGGGAAAAATAAGAATAGTCAGAGAGTTTTATTTCACTTGAATACCAAGAATAAACAGGAACAAGGAGGCAGATAGATACTGGGCACATGTATTAGCAGATACAAAAGCACATAAGTGACAAAGAAAGATCTTAATATTATCAAGTTAGAACGGCTGAACGCATAGGAGCATGTACGGGCATTTGGAAAGATCAGATTAAATGGAACACAAGACCAGGGATGAGAACATAAAGAAATCCACTGCCACTGAAGAGTTCAGATTTTTAACTCTGCTGTTACAAAAATATATTTTTGTTTTTGAAATAATGTATGTTTTTTTAAAACATACTGCTAAACACAAAATGAAAGACACATTAAGACACTGAGATAGAAACAACGTGCTATTGCTTTAAGAAAAAATAGTTAGGACTTGTGTTAAGTTGGGTAGGTATGAAGAGGGGAAGAACTTCTGAGAGACTGTGAACATATAACCAGTGGTCTTAAAGGCCAAGAGAAATGGCCAGGCAAAAAAAGCAAGCTAGAGTCCTAAAGCTTAGAGCAGGGATGTCCATAAAACCTGACTTTAAGCCAGACTTTAAGCCAGTAGGAAACTTAGAGACATAAGACATTTCTATATCTATAAAAAATCTCATTGGGAGTGGCTGAATATAAATAGTAATTGAAGTTATAGATATGAATAAGAAAGTACAATGAGCAAAGCAACGAGAAAAGATGTAAAGTTTGGTATCTTTTAAATTTAGCTATGCATGGTTAGTAAGGAAATAAAAAAATGACTCCTGGCTTCAGCATCGAATCATGTGTCAGGTACTGAACAGCAGGAAAAATGACCTGGAAAGCAGCAAAGAAAAATGGTCAGCTATTCCAAAATAAAGGACAAAAAAGCATCATAGGTGTGCCCATCGTAGGTGGTCACAGGTAAACACTAACATGTTTATACCAGCTCAACAGTAGTTGGCATAGGTACCAAAAATGCTGTGGACAGACGCTGAAAAGATGTAAAATTTGAGATTTGAAACACAAACAGAATTTTACCAATGTCCAGAGAAACTTCAACTAACCATAATCGAACAGGGGTGTAAACGGAGTACTTACTCCTGGAACTTTAAGGGGGTTGGGAGATAGGGAGTATTTTATATCTACTGAAAATTCAGGTTTACAAAAGAACCATTATAATTTGGGTGGTATTAAACTAAAAAAAAAAAAAAAATCAGAACTTTAAAGGCAAAGAGCAAATTAGAAATATTTATTAAAAGTTGGACCTAATTCACAAACCGAAAAAAATAAGAAAAGCAAATAGCTACTTAAATTATCAGTCCCTAGGTCACCTCTGAAGACTATAACTTTTCACAGAATATACAAAGAGGTTCTCAGTAAGTATAAAGGCAGGGATGGTCAGATAATTTCACTCTTAGAGGGACAAATGAGGGGTGAAGGAGAGGTGGAACCTATCTGTCAGTGATAATACAAAATAGAAATATCCAAAATTACATCGTAGTAAATAAATCTGATTAAAGTGTATGCAGAAGCAAGTACACAGACTTGTATTTCAGTCAACAGAACCAAGGAATCAAAATCCTAGTTCTAGTGTTGTCTCTGCCTGCGACATGTTTTGTTACATTTCGGAAAAGTGGTCCTTTCTTGACTTTGCGTTTAACTCGTAAGGGCAGGCTGAAGGCGGGCTGTCTGTCACAGGAAGCTGGCCATCAGCATCTTACCTGTGGCCCGCTGCTTAAGAAAAGGTACCTGGTAGGTCCCAGGACCCACGTGCTCCTCGGTGCTGCCGCGGTTGGCCAAGTCGGGCCAGCGCGGAGCACGGTCGTACATAGTGATGAGGGGCGGGGCTCACGGGGCCAGAAAAACTAGACAGGCGCTCGCAGGAGGCCTGCGTCGTCCCTACACGCGGAGCTAGTGTGCGAGCTGCATGCTGACTTGCTCAATGGCGTCAGCGTTCCCCCGGGTCCTCTGGCACAGAGGTAAAGTGGAGAGGACAGCGACCAGAGTCGCCGCCTGCCAGAGTTCAACTCAGCACGCACGCGCCACTCCAGAAAAGTGGCTTAGCCACCAGAGCTTCCGGCTCTGACTCCGCCCACTCCTCTCCTCCCGGAAGCCCTGGGAGGGCGGAGGCGGGCAGGACTCTAGTCCGTAGGTGCATTTCCGGTCCTGCCCCCGGAGTATTTCCGGTCAAGCGCTCAGAACCGGGAGCAGGCTTGTGGAGTCGTCTCTGCGCTGGGCAAGGCGGTGCTGCACCTCAGCTGCACCTCAGCTCATCTGCTCCCTCTCCCAGACTACCTTCGCTGCGCAGAAAAGCCCTAGAGACGCGTTAGAAGGAGGCGAAATAATGTAACTTTGATTTGCTCTCCCTATAAATCAGGGTGACTGGAAAGGGGAAGAAAAAAAAAAAAATAGGAAAGCTCAGTAGCCAGAAACGGTTTGGCATCAGCAAGGTTACCCTTCACTCCTGTCACATAGGCATCCTCTGATTAAAGTTACTCCTGATTCTGACCCGCAGGCAATCAAATTTCTAAAGGGAACCTGGGAGCGCAGAAGATTGAGGGGGTGATGAGAAATGGGAACAACAGAAAGGGAAAGCCTGCCTACTGAAGAACGTCAAGTGCAAGGGCTGAAAGGTGCTTCTGGTGTTGGATACCGATAAATGACAGCATTGTCTACAAAGTAAGGTGAAGGCATTGAAAAAGCCCAAACCACCCTCATGGAAACACTCGATCTTCTGCAACAGGAGCTGGAAAGAATCAGGATCCCTCTGTATATGCATTTAGTTGTTTTTCCGTTAAGAACTTTACAGCATCCATAAAGGCTTAGGCCAGTGGTTCTCAACCTTCCCAACGCTGCAACCCTTTACTACAGTTCCTCAAGTTGCGGCGGCCCTATTCCATAAAATGATTTTCATTGCTACTTTATATCGACTTTTGCTACTGTTGGGAATCATACTGTAAGTATTTTTGAAGATAGAAGTTTGCCAAAGGGGTTGTGACACACAGGTAGAGAACCACTGGCTTAAGCAATCCTTCCATGGCCCTGCCTTACCCACAAAAGAGCTCCAATGCCTCAGTTTGTCCCCAGTACAAACTTAGACATATTTAAATTCTGCAATTTTTAGTTTGCTATTTAGTTCTGGATTAATTGTACCATTTCTGTTAGAATACTCTAAAAGTCTGTGGTTCCTAAGAATCTTTTGATGTCTTCTTTCTTCTATTAAACAGCTAGCTGAATCATTACTTACTTGAAAAGTACTTATTGGCAAATGTATAGTTCTCTTACTCTCCTAAGTTAACCTGGATACAAATAAAACTAAAGTCCCTGTCCCTGGGTGGGGCATGAGTAGCCCAAGAAGTGGCAAGCAAATATTACAGCACTTGGGAACATATTACAGTTCTTTGTAATGAACTGTTGAACTTTCTTGTTAACTTTAGTGCTTTCTACATTCTTATAAAACTCATAATAAGTAACTGGGAAGTGGTGATACACGCCTTTTATTCTAGCACCCAGAAGGCAGAAACAGGCAGATCTCTGTGAGTTCCAGGCCACCCTGGTCTATAGAGTGAATTCCAGGACAATTAGGACTGCACAGAGTAGCTCTGTCTCAAAAAGGTAAACATAACTGCTCTCTCAATGCTATCTTAGCCTTGTTTATCTGGCAAGATCCCATTCAGAAGACCTAGAAGGAATTTCCAATGACATACTAGGAAGAGTCACAGATAAAAGGAGGGAAAATTGTGTCATTAAACATGATGTTCCTTTAACAACCTGTTGGACATTCCTTATACATCATTTACTCTTGATGATACAAACCAATATATCAATTCAGACAGCATATTCATGTCAGAGTATAGCATCCACAGCCTGGTTGTGCTACAGCAGTGAGGTAGCTTGCCATTTGTCCAGAAATTGAAGAAAATACATAGGTAGTGAGATATAGGATTTATTGAAAGCCACCAATGGGGATGCTAGCAGAGGAGAGTGACTATATTAACAGTGAGTGTACAGAAGAATGGAGCACAGAGCACTGCTGTGCAGCTGAGTGTCCAGCTGCACCAAGAGCATCTCACAGTGCTTTTTGTTGCACCTAATTAACACAGGGAAAGGGGCTTTGGAAATCACACCACATAAGCAGTAATTTCATTGGCTTCCTAGGTTGTTTTGTCCTTGCATGACCAGCATGCCAAGGAATTACTGAGTGATCCTATAGGTGGCAGGTTTTCTCCAAAGATAACCTAGTTGGCTACTGTTCTCATGCTATAGGAGAGGGAATAAGTTATTCTCTAGAAAGCCCTTACCTAAATGTTCTGATCTCAGCCTGTTTACTTTGTCACCTTGCTCAAAGTTGGGAAAAGAAAGGGTCATTTCAGGGACATTGTAGTTAAGTGTCCTTCTGAGAGATGATTCACAAGTCCCATAGTTGCTGTAAACAATGGGGTATAGTCATATCCTCCTCTGGCTATTTTCTGTCTTTAATGACATAAATTATCCCTTCTTTGAGTAGATTTGGGGTTAGACTAGCAATACAAGTGGTAACATGTTACATCTGCCTTCTATATGGCTTAAGTTTTTGACCACTAAGCCTAACTTAATTTAGATAAATTCTTCATGGAGACTAACCTAATTTAGATAAATTCTTCTTGAGAGGGTGGGAGAAGCACCATCTCAAGCTGATTCACAAACCTGGAGAAGGGAATCTGTGCCTGAAACTTCAGCTTGGTTTCCTTGCCTGGCCTGTCTTCTGGGTGAACATTGTATCCTTCAGGGCTTCACAGGAATGAGTGCATGATCAACAGCAGAACTTCTAGACCCTTCTTAATAATTTTGTCATGCCTGACCTCCAAGAATGCTGCATTCTTTATTTTTAGCATGGAAATGTGTTTTCTTGATTACTGTGGCTGGTCTTCACTATATATTTCCAGCAAAAAGTTTCTTCTTGTGGTTCAAACACCAGAGTACTATACAGCATTTGAGGGATTGGAAAACACTTTTAAGTAAGGAAAGTAAATATTTTTAAAAGTCTCTCATGATTTTCTTGAACGGTCCTCATTGAGTATGCTACTTAAATTGTTAATTATAATTATTCATAAGCACAAGATAAATAATTTGGTCCAGCCTTTCACAGTGCCTAGTGTTTAATGCTAGTTAGCAATACTCTCCTTGACCGGTTCCATGGTGTTAGTAAAAGTTGTTTGGACTAAAATGTATCTGACCTTAGAATTTATCTTCCTTCCATTTCTACCTAGTAGGCCCTTTCAGAATAAACTTTTTAATGGAGCTTTATGCAGGTGTGGTTTCATGCACTTTTAATCCCAAGCTTCAGGAAACATCAGTGGTATCATGGTGTCATGAGTTGCCCTGGTGCTGTTTGTATTCTGATGTTAATTCTGCTTCCTCAAGGCAGGCTGCCCCAATGAGGAGTGGATCATGATCACTTACTCAGGTGATTTCATGTGAACCTTTTCCCCATTTTAAATGGTCAAATAAAGGCTAGAGCCTGTGAATGGGCAGTGGAAGGGAAGGTGGGGCTGGAAGTTTTGGGGGGGGGAAATAGGAAAGGAGGGAGAAGACAGAGGAGGAGGAGGAGGTGGAGGGAAGATGGAGCAGAACCACATGGCCCACAGAAGCTGCAGGTAGCAGGGATCTCAGAGCTGGGGATAGAGTAGTGTAGTAGAAGATCTGCCCAATCTAGGCGTGCAGCTTATGAGGAATGTGACTGAGTTGTGTGTGTTGGCATGGACTTAGTGGGGTTGGAGAGTTACTGCAACAGGGTGGACCTCTGTGAGTTCCAGGCCAAGCAGGGCTGCACAGTGAGACTCTTCTCAATGGAACAAAGAGAGCATCGGAGATGCTTCAGCAGCTAAAAGCACTGGCTGCTCTTAAGAATTGCAGGACCTACATGGAGGCTCGCAGCCACCTAGAACTCCAGTTCTAGGGGACCAGTGCTCTCTTCTAAGCCCCTGTGAGCACCAAGCATGCATGTAGTATACAGGCGAAAATGTGCAGGCAAAGCATTACAGACGTAAAATTAAAGGTACTTTTTTTTCTTTTCTTTTTTTTTTTTTCTTTTTGGTTTTTCGAGACAGTGTTTCTCTGTGTAGCCCTGGCTGTCCTGGAACTCACTCTGTACACCAGGCTGGCTTCGAACTCAGAAATCCGCCTGCCTCTGCCTCCCAAGTGCTGGGATTAAAGGCATGCGCCACCACTGCCCTGCTAAAGGTACTTTTTAAAAACGTATAAAACAAAAGCAGAATTTTGTTAATAACAAATTTCATGAAATCAACTTAACTGTGTATCAAATATGCAGTGCAACTATGTAGTGAATAAATATACAGATTAAGTATTCTTTGTAGAATTTTGATTAATTAAAAAGTATGATATACTAAGTTTCAAATGAAAACAGAGAATTCTGCCTGAATACTTTTTAACATAAATTTTGGAAATAATTTCATTTGTTGTTGTTGTTGATTTGTTTCATTTTGCTTTTTGAGACTTGATCTTGAAGTGTAGCTAAGGCCAGCTGCAATTTCAAATTTCACCTTCTGCCTCCCCACTACAGTGATTACAGATATATCCTACCACACCCAGTTTAAAGCTAAATTCCTTAACCCCTTGTGGCTTTAGTTTTCCATTCTTTTGCCTATTTTGTAAAAAAGAATGCATCATTTTACACTTGTCAAAGAGAGCTAAATAAAACCTGTCAATGTTGCTGGAGGTCACACTGTGTGTTTCCAAGATTGAAAAATATGTTTTACATATTTTGTTTAATATAACATTCTATTACTCGACACTTCAGGAAATACATTTGGAAATTGCTTGTCTTTTTT